GTATTATATGAAATGCTGAAAGGTATTCTTTCTTTTTAAAAAAATACATATTTTATTGATTTTTTTACAGAGAGAAAGGGAGAGGGATAGAGAGTTAGTTTTTATTTTTTTATAATCTTTATTGTTCAGATTATTACAATTATTCCTCTTTTTCCCCCCATAGCTCCCCTCCACTCGGTTCCCACCCACCCTCTGCTCTTACCCCCCACCCCCCACTGTCTTCATCCATAGATGTACAAGTTTTTGTCGTACAAAAAAAATAAAAATAAAAGTAAATAATTAAATCAAAAAAACTCTCTCTCTTACACACACACACACACACACACACACACACACACACACATCACTTGTGGTTCCTTCTTGGGCTCCACACCCAAGTTAGAGTCAGGCCACCCCAACTACCCAGGACCCTAAGTACGAGCTTTGATGACTCCCCACTCCAACCCGATGTCCAGTCAGGCATTTCTCCCTGTGGGTTCCACCTCCAACACCTCTCAGAGCCTCGCCTCTCCCTCCGTCCCTTCTTACCCTTTGGGTTTCTCTCTTGCCCCTCCCACTGCCACCAATCCCACGTGCTCTCTCTTTCCTCTTCGCACCTCAACCCCAACCCAAGCCTTGCCCAAAACACTTCTCCCCCTTCCCTACCCACTGGCTCATCCTATTCAACATTGAGGTCTCAGCTAGTAGTCCCCTCTCATAAGAAAGCTTCCTGCCACGCGGGGTTGCACCCCTCACCCTGTCCTAACACTCCCGCCCAAGGAAATAGCCAGCCCCAGGCCCCAGGCCCCAGGCTCCAGCTGGGGGGGGGCGGTGCTCCTGCAACCTTGGGAGCCTGGGGGGAGGGAGGGGACGAAGCCAGGACCTGCCTAAGACCAGAGGTTCCCACCGGTGAGGACAGCTGGGAGGAAGGTCTGGGGCGTCTCTGAGAGGCAGCTTCTGGGCCTCAGCAAAGCTTCCCCCAGACCAGGACGCCTGGGGAGGGGCTGGGCAGGAGGCAGCATAAGAGACCCCGGCTCCTGCAACCTTGGGAGCCTGGGGGGAGGGAGGGGACGAAGCCAGGACCTGCCTAAGACCAGAGGTTCCCACCGGTGAGGACAGCTGGGAGGAAGGTCTGGGGCGTCTCTGAGAGGCAGCTTCTGGGCCTCAGCAAAGCTTCCCCCAGACCAGGACGCCTGGGGAGGGGCTGGGCAGGAGGCAGCATAAGAGACTCTGTGGGCCCTGGCTGGTTGCTCAGTGGTTAGGCATCGACCCTCGACTGAAAGATCATGGGTTCGATTCCCGTCAAGGACACGTACCTCGGTTGCAGGCTCGATCCCAGTGGGCGACAACCAATTGATGTGTCTCTCTCACATCAATGTTTCTCTCTCTGTCTCTCTCTCTCCTTTACACATGCTCTAAAAAATATCAAAGGAAAAAATATCTCGGGTGAGTATTAACAAAAAATAAGTACAAATAAATTTTTAAAAAAGAGAGAGAGAGAGAGACCCCACCCTGACAGGTTTGGCTCAGTGGATAGAGCGTCGGCCTGCAGACTGAAAAGTGTCAGGTTCAATTCCGGTCAAGGGCATGTACCTTGGTTGCGGGCACATCCCCAGTAAGGGGTGTGCAGGAGGCAGCTGATCGATGGTTCTCTCTCATCCATGTTTCTAACTCTCTATCCTTCTCCCTTCCTCTCTATTAAAAAAAAAATCAATAAAATATTTTATTTTTTTAAAAAAGGGAGACCCCATGGGCTTGAGTCCAAGGACATCAACAGTGACCATGAGGGACGGAAGTTGAGCCGCAGGCCCTCCCCCCAGATTCTTTCCAAGAACAACAGAGGCCTCCCAGGTTGTCATTGAACTCACGGGCCTTCTCCAAACCACTGACCGAATGGCCTGCTCAGGCGGAGGATGGGGGCGTTAGAGTTAATGTAAAATTAACAATGAAAGGTGGCGTTTTCGCGTCCCCAAGTCTGTTCACACACATCTCTCTGTGTTTGCGCTGGTTGCTGAGTGTACTGTGGAGCACATTTTCCCCTCGTGCACAACCAGTTCTACCAGCTCCGTGTGCCCAACAGCCCCTCCCGCCCCCCGCCCACGGGTCTGCAAGCTTCCACTTCACACAGGCCTCCGTCTGTCTCCAGACTCCCTTTCCCGTCCTCCGGTCAATCTGTTTATCCCTGGGACAAATATCTAAGTATACGGGCTTTTCTTAAACTATTTTTTGTCATTACTGTCTAACTTCATTGTATTGACGTCAGAGAATGTGCTCTGTATAATGTCCATTCTTTGAAATTTGGGGAGCTTTTCTAAGCTAGTCTGCAATCAATATTTTAAAATGGGCCGTAAGTGCTGAGACCAATATGACTGTGGGACGCAGGCTGCAATCAATGTCCATTAGATCGAGCTGTGTACTCCTGCTGTTCAAATCTATGTCTGGTCCAAATTTTCCAGCTTTGCTATCAATAATAAGAGACGCATTTGAAATAGCCCATGTTGATGGTAGATTTGTGCATTTCTCTTTCTTCTATCATTTTTTTTAAAGTCGGTTTTATTGAAGTAAATTGACACCTAATAAATTTCACTCATCCCTGCCCCCACATATGGTGGGGCATTTCCCGGAAGTGGTCCCACCCCAAAGCCTGGACCCCAATGGGGTTCCGGGCCACAATTCTGGGGCCATTTCCTGGAACCACCAAACCCATTTCGTGTCACCGTGGCCACATCCTCTCTTGAGTAGCCCTGGGCTTAGACCCCAGGCCCCAGCGAGGGGTGAAAAGGGAGGTCCGGGCAAGGCCCCCCCATCACTAGGCTGCCAACCCAACCTAGGTCACCGCTCCCCGGAGCTGCCCAAGAGAGGGCCTGCGAGTTTCCATGATCCCTGAGCACCCTACTTAGCATGGGAGCCACCCCAAGACCTGGGGAGCCTTGTACAGGTCGAGGCTGGCTAAACTAGGGGAACTCAAATGGTGGCTCACATCACCCTGATAGAAGTGGGGGAACACTCTGGAGTCAGAGCGGGAAAGACACTTTCTCTGCGGGCCAATTGGAGCGATTTCCCAGAAGAAGTGACCAAGGACCATCAGGTATTTAAGTAGAGCCGAGGATCCCCGAATGGAAGGGTGGGGACAGGTGGCAACAGCCTGGAGGCTGCGTTGTGTGGGGAAGGCTCCTAAAACAGCAGAAGGCCAGCGAGGCTGGAGCAGCGGGCACTCTGGGGGAGGGGGGGAGGTGGCCAGGCCGAGGTGGGCAGAACATACCCCGCGAGGACCTGGGCCTGTGATGCTGAGCAGACCTGGGGCTTGGACAGGGTGGCCTCTGAGACTCGGCTGACGCCGTTAGTCATAATAGCCAACGTGCTCGCCGTCACCATAGTAACATTTATTGCGCTCTTACTCTGTGCTGAGCCTCTTTATATGGATGATTTCATTGGACCGTCAAAATCAGTCCCCCTGTTGCCCCTATTTACAGGCGGGGAAACTAAGGCACAGGAGGTTGATGGCTTGTGGCAGAGCTGGCATTTGAGCCCCACCAGTCCGGCTCCAGAGCCACTGACCACCGCGTGAAGGGCTATTTGCATCAAGGAATGAACAGAGGGCATAACCAGAGGGATCCAGCTTCCATTCCTTCCCTGTGCCATTCAAAGTCATTAAAATCTGCCCCATGGCCCGGAGCTGGGCCCCGAGAGCCTATCCCGCCCACTGCTCTCGTGCCAGGTGTGCCCAGAGCACAAGACCCCAAGAGCCAGAGCGGCCACTGTGTTGGGTAAAGAGGGAAATGGCTGTGAACAGCGCTGACAGCCCTCCTCCTGGGCACTCAGCAGGCGCAGTCCTGGAGGCAGAACCCCTCCCTCTGGTGGGTCCTGTTCCCAGACAGGCGATCCCAGCATTTCCAGGAGCGGTTCTGGTGCCAATAGCCGCTGAGCGCAGGTCAACAGCGCCCCCTGGTGTGCAGTCTTGGAAAGGCTCCGGCTTCATCAGTCTCCCACTCCGTAGAGCAGAAAGGTCAAGGGCCTGACCTTGGATTTAGAACCCACACCCTCGCGCCTAGCGAGGGAAATCCAATTTTACCCACTTGTCAAATAGCCGGCCACGGAGGTCCAGCTGGCTCAGGTGTCGGGCAAAGAGGCAACCCCTTCTACCCCTGGAAGCTCCGTTTGGAAAGGCTCCGGCTTCATCAGTCTCCCACTCCGTAGAGCAGAAAGGTCAAGGGCCTGACCTTGGATTTAGAACCCACACCCTCGCGCCTAGCGAGGGAAATCCAATTTTACCCACTTGTCAAATAGCCGGCCACGGAGGTCCAGCTGGCTCAGGTGTCGGGCAAAGAGGCAACCCCTTCTCCCCCTGGAAGCTTCGTGCCCCCAGCCGCTGGTCTAAATGGCCTTAGAGACTTGGGAGGTCTGGAGGGAGGAGGGGCCCCTGGGAAGGACGGGGCTTCCCGATCTCTGAGAACTGTGGCCGTGGAGTTGGGGTCATTATAGTTTGG